CTAAAGTAGAAAAGTTACGCTTCATTTATGTAGGCAGACAGAGGAGTTATTTAGCAGGATTATTACATTATACAAAGTTGGTGCAAAGTTATAGAAATATTTCAGTAAAGGCAGTGTTTCTTTTTGGGAAGGGTACATGTAACATTTTTTACAGAGGGTGTAATAGTCACTAGATTTCTGTCATCTGGTCTAAACAAAGGACAATAAAGGAGAAGTTAATCTATAACAATGTCATTAAGTAGGCAGGAAGTTTTTTTCCCTGACATCATTTCTCTCTAGTCATTGTACAGAACAAGAAAAATAAGAAAGCAAGTTAATCTGCAATCTGAGAACAGAAGTTGTAACCATATGTGACTCAGCTCACAATCACATCTCTCTCAAGGCTTAAAGTGTTTGGGGTGGTTTCAGCAGCTTTTCAATTTTACTTATTTTCACAAATAAAAGTTCATTTTATAATTGACTTTCCAAGAAAATATGTCTGCCAAACATAAGGAACATCTACTCCCTCAATTATATCCATCATTTAAAAAATAACAAAAAAAAAACTGATATTGCTTTTGAAGAGTCAAGGAACTATTTCCTGGGGTGTTATAAAATGATTATCTAGAAAAGATACTAATTATGAATCCAATGAATAAATATTAAATGTCATTTCTTCTAGCTAAAATCATAATTCCAAAAATACTTTGTTCAGTTTCAAGATGGCAAAATTCTATCCAACGTTTTCTTCCTCTTGGAAATCATCCTAAAACAAATTGAACAGTAAACTGAAAGTAAGCTCCAACTACAGCTAGGAGACATCTATAACAGTAAACTACAATGAAAGGAGAGCATATGGGGGAATGGCGAAAGACTTAGTGAAGAAAAGTCAAATCCAAAAGCTTGCAGAGGGAGAAACTCAGGAAAAGCAAGTCATTTTACCAACGCAGGTCCTCTGTCAGGCTCAGGGACTGCAGGTACTCAAGCACCAACCAAAGACAGAGGTAAGTGACAGGCTGGTAACCAAGGGAGATTCAAGATGCTGGAATCCAGCAGTGATTAAAAACTAGGTAAAAATCCTGCTGTTCTAGAGCTTACATTTTAGAGGATGCAGACAACAGTGAAATACAGAAGTCCTATGGAAAACAAAGCAGGAAATGGAGAGTATATGGGTGGCAGGGAGGTGTAATTTAAATCCAGTAGTTAGCACCCGATGTGTGGCTCACACCTGTAATGCCGAGGCGGGTGAATTACTTGAGGTCAGGAGTTTGAGACCAGCCTGGTCAACATGGTGAAATCCCCGTCTCTACTGAAAATAACAAAAATTAGCTGCGCATGGTGGCGGGCACCTGCTAGTCCCAGCTACTCGGGAGGCTGAGGTGGGAGAATCACTTGAGCCAGGGAGATGGAGGTTGCAGTTAGCTGATATCACACCACTGCACTCCAGCCTGGGTGACAGAGTCAGATTCTGTCTCAAAACAAAAATGGTAGTTAGACGGTTCTCATTGATAAAGTGACATCTAAAAAACCACAAACGTTATGAGGGATTATGTGGATATCTATAATAGCAAGGGTGATACAAAGTGACTTACATCCTTACAGAAGGGTCATTATGGCTTTCAAATTGAAAATGGAAATAGTGGAAGGGCTTGAGGTAGCAATTGTTAGTGTTCAACCATATCTAGTTCGCTTCTGGGTACTCACAAGGTAACATTTCAATGCCTGTGAGTTAGCCTCAGGTGATTAGTCTTAGCCAGTGAAACGTGGATAGAAAAGATGTACAGAGGCATTAATAGGTATTAACAGCTATTGGGATTCCTCTGTACTTTTTCTGCTTAGTAACTTTAGAAACCATGTGCTAAGGTGCTTTTGCAAAATGTAAGGAGCCTGGATCTCTTCACTGCAGGTGGGGCAGCCTTTACTGATCTACACTAGATTTTGTGAGAGTAAGAAATACATTTTTGTTATGTACACAGGTTTCAGAGTCTGTTAACAGAACTTAGCTACACAGCTAATACAGGGAAGAAAAAGGGAGACCTGTTAGGAAGCTAATAGAATGATCAGATTGGAATGTTGGTAATAACATCAGAGGTGGGAGAAGTTGAACTCTGGATTTATTCTGAAAATAGAGCTAACAGTTTGATAAGGAGCAGTTAAATCCTGCTCCTCCAGTCTCCCAGCTCCATCCACCCCACATTATCAGGTGATTACCCTCTCTCCCACCTCTCCTCTCCACCTGACTACTATCACCACCACCAACTTCCAAACAAGATAGGAGGTGGAGTTTCTAAAGAAAACGGAAAAAGTTCCTCATTCAGGGACACTGAGTACATAGAGGAGATAAGGAGAAAGAGTTTATTAACTGAATGAAGAAACACCAGTCTAGTTCCCAAACTTCTGACGACCACTATATAGACAGAAGATTGGAAGATCTTCCTTTAGAGAAAATAGTCTCTCCAGAGAAAAGACCTGCAGACACTGACTTATGGGGAGGATCCAACAAAAACCATTCATCCTTTGATGATGCCATGGTGAAGTCCAACAGTCAATAAGCCCTACTTACACACAAATCTTTTAATCAGCATTCAGTGCTTCAATCTTTAATAGAAATAGCAAACAAATGAAAAGCCTAACAAAGGAACACAAAATGGTACAGCCACTTTGGAAGATGATTTGGAAAAAAACAAATACCATACAATCCACCAGCTGAGCTCCTTGGTACTGTACCCAAAGGAGTGGAAAACTCACATCCACACAAAAACATGAATATGAATGTTTCCAGCAGCTTTATTCATAATTGTCAAAACCCAGAAGCAACCAAAATGTCCTTCAGTAGGTGTATGGATAAGCTGGTACCCATGGAATATTACTCTGTGCTAAAAAGAAATGAGTTATCAAGCTGTAGGGCTGAGGCACAGGGTCTGAAAAATAAAAAGACAGGACACAGAACTACAAGGAAAATGCAGCTAGGCTCAAGGGGGCCACACCACCTATAAGCAGAGTCAGGCGAGGCCCTGAATGTCCAGAAGCGTATTTGTGTTAGGGGGCAGGGCAGTGAGTGAAGTCATCCTTAAGGATAGTGATAGGGTCGTGAGCAATAAAACAAGGGGTCCACCCCCATTAGATCACCTAGGCTAGGAGGTGGACAGTGCGCAGCAAGGGGTCCATTCCCATTAGGTCATCGAGGCAAGGAAGTGGGCCATATGCAGTAAGGGGTCCACCCCCATTAGGTCACCGAGGCATGGATGTGGGCCATGTGCAGTGAAGAGGGTGCAGTGTGCAATACCTCTATCTATGAGCAAACTACTTCTAAGAAGATTTATGGGGGGATGCTTTAAGTCACACAGTAGTGACAGAGCTGACAGGGTTACCGCCACCTGCTGGCAGCTTCCAATGAGTTCTATAGGAAGATGCTTTTCGAGCAGCACAGCAACGAGCTGATAAAGTTCACAGTCACCAAGGTGCGATTGCCAGTCTGAGGGCAGCCTTCCACAAAAACTGGGGCAAGGTCCTACAACTCCTTTATCAGGAGGAGTGGCTCTTGCCCCAAGCCTGCCATCCAGTGAGTATCTTTACGATACTGAATGCTGCGGCCTGTGCCATGGAATCTTGGCCTGGAATAACTGTTTTTCCTTTAAATTATGCTCTGCACTGTGTCTGCTCTAGGCATTCCTCTGATTATAAGCTGCTTCTTAATTCATGCTCTGTACTGTGTCTACTCTAGGCATTCCTCCGATTATGAACTTAAAATATAATTATATGTATATATGTGTATATATATACATAGTAGGGAAATATTCTTTAGGCACTCATACTATGAACTATTATATGATTATATATAGAGGGTTATACAAAGGGCAATAACTTAGTAACACTATAAACTGAGATAATCTTCAAGCCCTAATTCTATAAACTAATATATGATTAAACATGGAGGATTATACAAAAGGAAATAACTGAGTAGTAACACTATAAACTGAGATATTCTTCAGGCCTTAATTGCGCCAGGGTTTTGCTTAGCTCTCCTTCCTTGGTGCCTCTATGGGGGGTTACCCACATCAAGCCTCAAGACACAGAATTTAAGCGCTTATTACTAAAGAAAGAATCTGGTATGGTTTGGCTCTGTGTGCCCACTGAAGTCTCATGTTGATTTGTAATCCCCAGTGTTGTGGGAGGGGCCTGGTGGGAGGTGATTGGATCATGGTGGGTGGATTTCCCCCATGCTGTTCTCCAGACAGTGAATTATCACAAGATCTGGTTGTTTAAAAGTGTGTAGCACTTCCTCCCTTTGCTCTCTCTCCACTGCTCCCATTTGAAGATGCTTGCTTCCCCTTCACTCTTCTGCCATGATTGTAAGTTCCCTGAGGTCTCCCAGTCAGGCTTCCTGTACAGCCTGTGGAACTATGAGTCAAAGAGTATGAATGTGAACTAAAGGACCACTCATCTGGTCAAAACCTGATCTATTATGGATCAGAGAAGAAATATTAAACAATTTAATATATGAAACAATTGAAGTTTTATGTTAAGCTTTTCTTCTTTTTTTTTTTTTGAGACGGAGTTTCACTCTTGTTACCCAGGCTGGAGTGCAATGGCGCGATCTCGGCTCACCGCAACCTCCGCCTCCTGGATTCAGGCAATTCTTCTGCCTCAGCCTCCTGAGTAGCTGGGATTACAGGCATGCGTCACCATGCCCAGCTAATTTTCTGTATTTTTAGTAGAGACGGGGTTTCACCATGTTGACCAGGATGGTCTCGATCTCTTGACCTCGTGATCCACCTGCGTCGGCCTCCCAAAGTGCTGGGATTACAGGCGTGAGCCACCGCGCCCAGCTTATGTTAAGCTTTTCTAATAATCACTTCCAAAGAAATTAAGCTAATAAATGTTCAAAATGATTTTATATAAATCTTTAGCTCTGAGCTAATATGTACAGCTAATCATCTCTGCATAAACAATTTGTTTCAACTTTTCATGTAAACATAGCAAAAATTCCTGGAATGCAGATTTGAATAATTACACTTGAATTCTTTTTAATTTTTTATTAAAAATTAAAGAAACACAGCTAAACAATTTATTTACAATTGTACAATGTTTGAAACGGCTATCCTATTCCTGTTAAAGCTTCATATTTAAAAATGTCTACATGATATGTGCTTGTACAAGGCTTGAGTATCAAACTGAACCACAAATGTGACTTTTGCAGCTTTATTGCACAATGATCCACATAACACGGCATTATTTGCTTAGCTTAGCCTACGTCATAAAGTGCTATTCATATATGGGAAAGTAACAGCCTGCTAAACAATGAAATTCTCCATGATATTTTCTACTTGACTTGAGGGTAAAAAGCTAATTTAATGCTACCAGCCTGAGTAACAGATTTCCATTAAAAATATAACAACAACAACCAAAAACAAAAAGAAACAAACAACAAAAAAACAGGCCTAAAAGTTTTGGTTACTCTGTTAAAACACGTCAAAAGCATTTCACAAATGATTACTGCTACAATGAATAACAGTAGTTTCTGAACATTTTAACTTCAAAAAAATGAGTAGTTTAAATAAAAACCACCTACCTGAAAGAATGTCTTTCAAAAACAAGACACACAGTTTAGATAGAATATAATTCCTCGAATTAAAAGATATTTTAAAGGGTACATAGTCATTGTGATCTTAGTTATCATTTCTAAGTAAATTTGCATTTTTACTGGCTTGTATTAGAAATGCTTATTAGCAGGGAGAAACAGAAAATGCTACACAAGTGAACAATGTTATAAAAATTTATATGTAATGCTACTAAAATATATAATAAACTTTTCAAACATGTAAATATAAACCAGGAAAACCTGACAGGTAATAATTGTGCCAACACTGAAAAGCACAAAACACAATAAGGGGGTAAAAGAATAAATATGACTTTAGTATCAGTCCATCTTTACCAATATAATCTGAAAAATAATTATTTGACATAAGAACAAATATTTTCACAGAATAAGAAAAATTGAAGATAAATTTCTCTGAAAAAAAGGATATAAAGTGAGAAGTTTAATGTGTTAGCTGAGAACTTTGTGTCTTCTGCAAAAGAAACCATGCTTACTACTCATGCCGGTAAACGAGTGTTACAGCTAAGCAGACTCTTAAAAATGTCCTTAACAATACAGTTTGTGATCTTAACAAAAGAGTAGTATTCCTTTTCCAGGCAATATACTTTTAATAGTCACACACTTGTTTAAAATACATAATTTTCCACTTAAATATACTACCATTTTTTTTGGCATTTTTCTTTTTATCTATCTAGAACTTTGTTTTCCTATTAAAAAGAAATGCAAGACACACTGCTTAATACTAATTCCTATCCATAAGGCATTTTTAAAATATCTTCTCTTAGGACATAAACATGATATTAAAAAAAAAACAAAACATCAAACACAAGAGAAGCATAATAAATACTTTTGTATCCCCCCATAATAAAAGTGTCAGCAACACCAGCTGACATAAATAAATTAGATATCCTGTGCATAAAGAAAAAGACAATCCAGTTGCAAAGTTAACCGTTTCGGTATGAACTTGGAAAGAACGTCTTCACTTCATCATTTGTGAAAGGCAGAACAATGACATGAAAGACACAGGCTGTTTAGGTTTTCTGTATTTCAAGATGAATCATACACAAACACAAGTGTGGTGACAGATCACTCAGCGATATGTAATTAGTTACAAAGGTTAACGCTAAGGCATTGCTTTGCTCATAGTTTTTATCCTGAGTCACATCAGATGTTTCAACTACATGTTCTCTTGGTATTCCAGATATTTTGCTGTGATGGGTTCTTCAAGCTGAATTCCTCCACTGCCCATTAATGCAAATGCTGGATACAGTGTATGTGAACAGTCCACTTGGCGCTCATAAAGGCATTTCATGTGATCCATATCATAGAAACTTACTTTTCCTTTATCATAGTCAAGGAAAATCCCAATGCTTGTTGGCATAGGAAGAACTCTATTTTCAGGATCATTAGAAGAAGTCGGTGACTTGGGTATAAAAAATTTCTTCATGCCTATAGTAACTAAGGTAAAGGGTTGTGAAGAATCAAAACAGGCATCCTCACTTCCACTGTCATGCCCACTGTCTTGCTCATATCTGAAACATAATATACAAAGCATCTGTATCTTCAACCACAGGTCTAAGTACCTTCAAAATATTTTCACAGGGTAATATATATTGATGTAAGGTTAAAATAATCTTTACACCAAAAGCTTTCTATTAAAATGAAATCAAAAACATAAAAATAACATATTGCCATTTATAATTATACCACAGACTCAGTCCCAAATTCCATCATTAAACACTGTTTTTACTTAGTTATATACACAAGGGTAACCCTAGAAAATCATGGATAATTTTGGCCTTCCAAAGAGTGAGGGAGCAGGCAGTGAAGGAACTGGTCAAACATTAATTTTTTTTTTTTTTTTTTTTGAGACGGAGTTTCGCTCTTGTTGCCCAGGCTGGAGTGCAATGGCGCGATCTCGGCTCACCGCAACCTCCGTCTCCTGGGTTCAGGCAATTCTCCTGCCTCAACCTCCTGAGTAGCTGGGATTACAGGCACGCGCCACGATGCCCAGCTGATTTTTTGTATTTTTAGTAGAGACGGGGTTTCACCATGTTGACCAGGATGGTCTCGATCTCTTGACCTCGTGATCCACCCGCCTCGGCCTCCCAAAGTGCTGGGATTACAGGCTTGAGCCACCGCGCCCGGCCCCAAACATTAAATTTTTATAGCAACAATCATATAGAGTCATGCACCATATAACAATTCAGTTAACAACAGACCTCATATACAACAGTGGTTCCATAAGATTATGATAAAACTAAAATATTTTGGCCAGAGTGGCTCATGCCTGTAATCCCAGCACTTTGGGAGACTAAGGCAGGTGGACTACTTGAGGCCAGGAGTTCACGACCAACCTGGCCAACATGGCAAAACCCCGTCTCTACTAAAAATACAAAAATCAGCCAGGCATAGTGGTGTACACCTGTAGTCCCAGCTACTTGGGAAGCTGAAACACAAGAATCACTTGAACCCAGGAAGCAGAGGTTGTAGTGGACTGAGATTGCGCCACTGCACTCCAGTCTCGGTGACAAAGCGAGGCACTGTCTCAAATAAAATAATTACTACTGCTTATTGATGTGGTAGCCACTGTAAGGCTACTCATTAGGTTACCTGTAAGTTACCTGTAAGGCTACCTGTTACATGTTTGTGGTGATACTGGTGTAAACAAACCTGTGCCACCAGTGTATAAAAGTACAATTACACACAATTATGCACATTATGTAATACTTGATAATAAGTGACTGTTACTGGCTTATGTATTTATCATACAATGTTTTTATTATTATAGATTTACTCCTTCTACTTATTAAAAAAAATTTTAACTGTACAACAGCCTTAGGCAGGCCCTTTAGGAGGCTTTCCAGAGGGTAGCATTGTTATCCTAGGAAATGACAGCTCTATGCATGTTACTGCCCCTGAAGATCTTCCAGTGGGGCAAGACATGGAAGTGGAAGACAGTGATATTGATTATCTTGACCCTAGATGGGCTATTGTGTTTGTCTTCATTTTTAACAAAAAGCTCAAAAAGTTAAAAATTAAAAAAAATTAAAAGAAAAAAACTTACACAATAAGGGTATAAAATAGTTTTTTTATAGATGTACAATGTGTTTGTGTTTTGAACTAAGTGTTCTTACAAAAGAGTTAAAAAGTTTTTTTAAAAATTCAAAGTTTATAAAGTTTATGGTAGTGTACAACAATGTTCTAGGCCTTCAAATTCCCTCACTGATGCACCCAGAGAATTTCCAGTCCTGCAAGCGCCATTCATGGTAAGTGCCCCATGAAAGTATACAATTCATCTTTTATCACATATTTTTATTACACCTTTTCTATGTTTAGATACACAAATACTGTTGCCTTAAAATTGCCTACAGTATTCATTATAGTACACGCTCTTCAGGTTTGTATTCTAGGACCAAAAGACAATTCCATATAGCCTAAGTGTATAGCAGACTATTCCACCTAAGTTTGTGTAAGAACACTCTATGGCCAGGCATGGTGGCTCATGCCTGTAATCCCAGCACTTTGGGAGGCCGAGGTGGGCAGATCACGAGGTCAAGAGATCAAGACCATCCTGGCCAACATTGGTGAAATCCCGTCTCTACTACAAATACAAAAATTAGTTGGGCATGGTGGCACAAGCCTGTGGTCCCTGCTACTCAGGAGGTTGAGGCAGAAGAATCGCTTGCACCCAGGAGGCAGAGGTTGCAGTGAGCTGAGATTGCACCACTGCACTCCAGCCTGACAACAGAGCAAGACTCCGTCTCAAAAAAAAGAACACTCTATGATGTTCTTGCAACAATGAAATCGCCTAGCAATACATTTCTCAGAACATACTCCTGTTGTTAAACTAAAGCATGATTGCATAAGGAAATACAAAAACAAGATGTGTGCCCTAATCCAAGGAATGACCAGGCTAAGTGAAATAAATGAGCACTGTAAAACAATGCAAGAGAAAAAAGCATGTTTAATTCTCCTCCTAAGAACTCTATTTCCTGTTTGGGATTTCTACATGGATCTATGAAGCAAACAAAGGTTATGATGCTTTTCACCTTTATCATAAAACAATAAAAACTTATGGAAAATTTTGATACATGTTCCCCACTTTTTTCAATATGCATATGTTGCTTTTCATATATTTTGGATAATACTGCATCAACAATGTTTACTAGGTTTTTTCATTTCTAGTATCTCTCATGTTATGAACTTTTTAAACATTAATACTAATATTCTATCAAGTGGGCATGCCACTATGTTTTACTGTTACAATCTTCAGCATTATATAAATTTCTCATCTTTCTGCAAAAAGCTTTTCCTATCATTCAGATTAATTTGGGATACTGTTCACGTAAGTGGTCAAAAATTATTTTTCAAAGCTAGTTGACCTTACTCCATTTAAAAGAACTAAACTGTACAATCTTCATTAGTCAATCTCTTAACAAACTGGAATTCTTTGTTGTGGAAATATGTCTACTATGACCCAATTCTGAAAAGGACTTATGGGAAAGTTTAAAGAAACTGTGTCCCATAAGAAAAGAACAACTTAATTGTGAAATATAACAATTAGAGGCATTGTGTTATATATATGGGTAATTTTTATCACATAATTTAGGTAACATGTAAAAGACTTTCAAAATTTAAAACCGTGAAGCTATATCATAATCAAGAGATATCCAAAACAGATTTATTTTCTCATGATATTAAAAAGTAACTGCTAACTCTCTTTATTCAATGTGTGATTATAAAAACACCTGGCTCCTTTTCTCAATCAAGTTACAGCCAAAATACTTGAATTTAAGAAATAAGAAGTATATACTCCAAATGTAATAGAGCCAAATCTATTTTCAGACTTACTTTTAAAAACAATTATCAAGCTCTAGATCAATACAAAAACCTACCTTGGACTAACTGCATCCCGAGGAGAACGGAGCCATTCTTGTAGTTTATCGCTAGAAGCAACTCCCACTTTTACCAGGTATGAATACGGTTCCACACGGAAGGCCCAGAAGTGTTTTCCTTTTGTAATGCCAGTATCTCCAATGATGTAGTCTAAGCTTGTGTAATAACCCACTTGGATGCGTTCCGCAGCAAGCAGAAGATTATATCCAGCTCTACTCTCTACACGGTCTCTCTTCAGGTTCAGCAGGAGGTGTTCGTTATTATAGCCACATTTTTCATCAAAGAGGAAGCTGAAAACTAAATAGAGCTTAAAATTAATATCAGTCTAAAAATTATCATTGCTGTAACTTGTTAAACCTAATAGGTTTTCTTATAGAAATTACTGAAAAGAAGCAGGAAGAGGGAAGGTGGTGTCACACTACCCCAGACAACTATAACAATCCAAAACCCGACTTCGCAATATATCTTACCCAGTATATTTTCTATACCTAAAAATCTTCAGAAATCTCAAAAAGCAGATGAAAACATTTTAAATATATGTGAAAATTTACATATACGGCTCTTTGGAATAGAGATAGCAAATCTATCATTGGTATTTCACACTACTGAATTTGTTCTTTTATCTTTGTTAAAGATAAATAATAAAGAGTTTTATATTTTCATAAATATCTATATTTTCTTATTGTAAGTTTTGTTAATTTGGGATATTCTAGCTATTTTAATAAAGCTTTTTCTTTTTCAACCAACATGGCAGACATAAGAAATATGGGACAGTGTATTAAAAAAACAACAAAACAAAAAAAAACAAAACAAAAACACAGCTTTTGGGTTGAGAGAGATCTGGGTTTGAATCCCTGCTCACGCATTTAACTAGAGTTTGATGCAAGCTTTAATTTCTTCATTTACAGAATGGAGATAACACCACTCCCGTAAGTCTATTTCAACTCAAATATATTAAGCATAAAATTGGCTGCTAGCCAATGGGGAAACAATCCAAAAGTCTATCAAAAGATGAAAATGTGGTAAATACATACAATAGAAAATTATTCAGTCTTAAAAAGACATTCAGATGCTACAACATGGATAAATCTTTAAATAAGCCAGACGTAAAAGGACAGATATTGCACTATTCCAGTTATATGAGATAACCTAGAATAGGCACATTGATAGAGACAGAAATTGGAATCAAGGTTACCAGTCTCTGGGGAGAGGCAGAATGGGGTTAACTATTTAATGGGTACAGAGTTTCAGTTTAGAATAATGAAAGTTAAGGAGATACAAGTGGTGATAACTGAACAATACTATAAATGTACTTAATGCCAATGAGCTGTATACTTAAAAATTGTTTGTTAAGATGATAAATTTTATCTTTACTTCACAAGTTTATAAATGACCTCCAGGCATGGTAATGCACACCTTTAGTCCTAGCTACGTGGAAGGCCGGAGTTGTTTGAGGCTGGCCTAGGCAACACAGTGAGACCCACCTCTCTCTCTTCCTCTCTCTCTCACTATATATATATGTATATTTTTTGGTTTTTTTTTTTTTTTTTTTAAACAGGCTGTTAGCAGCTGGGCATGGTGGCTCATGCCTATAATTTCAGCACTTTGGGAGGCTGAGATGAGCACATCACTTGAGGTCAGGAGTTTGAGACCAGCCTGGCCAGCAGGTGAAACCTGGCTCTACTAAAAATACAAAAATTAGCCAGGCATGCTGGCCCGCATATGTAATCCCAGCTACTACTCAGGAGGCTAAGGCAGGAGAATTGCTTGAACCCAGGAGACAGAGGTTGCAGTGAGCTGAGATGATGCCACTATACTCCAGTCTGGGTGACAGAGGCAGACTCCACTTCCAAAAAGAGGCTGCTAGCAAACTACAGCCATTAACCACATGTGAGCCGGCTATTCTTCCTGCTAATGCCTATTTTCTGGGCATGATCTATTTGTGCTTCCTCTCAATCTCAAAAAGTCTCCCAGTTTGCACAATAAATTTAAAAGGTCACCCTAGTCATGTATCTTCTCTCAGAAAATGGAAGACAACCCTTAGCACTTCCTCTCCTCCTTCCCCCGTCCACTATGTGATTGAAAACAGCATTCTGTCCAGGTTTGTTTTTCTTCCACTTTCAGTCAAAAAGACTGGAAAAGGAAGTGGAAATAGCATAAATCATAAAATATTTACTTAATACTTGCAAATTTATCCCAAAACTCCATTGGATTTTATTAAAATTCAAGAAATACAATTTTAGCCAACTTTGTATGTCTGTATTCCAATTTTTTAAAAGCCACAATGTGCATGAAAAACAAATTGTGCTTTTCTATTTTGAACAAAAAAGGAAAAGTCAGAGTGCAGAAAATATGGGTATATAAGCCACTAAAAAGAGGCAGGGAGCAGTGGATCTAAAATACAATTAAAGGTATGTCTAAGGCAGAAACTGAAGGGGGAAAACGTTTTCCTCCTAACCAGGCTGAGCTCAACTTTGCTTCTAAATATCCCTTGTTCATGGATACATCACAGTGAGCATCAACAAAACTTTAAAGTCATTCTCACTCTATAAAAATCTTTCGGTACTCTATATGTAGTATCAGTGGATTTATTACTTGGAAAGGGAGGGAACGATGACGGTATGAGGAGCTTTTAGCACAGGAGGAAACGCTATTCATGTAGTTCTAATAAATGGGTTCCATCCCTATTAGCTGAGAATTGCCAAGTTAAATTTAAAACATCCAGACAAATCAGAATTAGATTAAATCAAAATTATATTTTAGGATATTATACCAATATTTAAAAAAAATACCTACCTAGATCCTGTGTTTTAGAGATTTCCATAAACTAACCAAAACTATAGAATTATATACTTAAAACTTTTAAGGTAGCATTTATGCTATTTTAATCCCAACTTAATAGCTCTGCTCACCCAAATTTCTTGCATATTTTTCATTATCTGACATCAGTTAAAACCTAATCCTGTTCTCAGTCTAGAAGGTAAAAATTCAAGTATTCAGTTAATTTCTAAATCCCAGCTGGAATAGAAGCTACTTCTTCGGAGTCTTAAAAACAAAAGCTGGTTTCATTGCAGGTCTACATGGAGATATTGTCTAGTCTACTTTATCAAGGTCTCTTGCAACTCTATGATTTTTTTATCCCTGATATTCACCATACCTGGAGCTGGAGGAGTATGAAGAATTAATTCTCTGCTGCAAGGACTACAGATTGAACCCTTGTAAGCTCTTACTCTGAAAGCATAGGTACTACTGTTTTCCAGGTCTTGAATTATTTTACTTGTTCCACACACTTCAACCTCATTCCATGACAACATTTCATCATCTCTGTTGATCTTCCGATATTCAAGAACATAGCTATCAGCTTTATCCTTTTCTGGATGTTGCCAATTTATCAACGCATTATTATAAACTTTGCTCTGTTCCTCATTGATCTCTGGCACATCTATGCCTGAAAGAATTATGAAACAGAAAACAATGTTAAAATATTGATATTTTAAAACCTGTGTTTTTCCTCAATAAAAATGATATATAAGCAATATTTAATGATTTCTATACTGTCCAATAATTTTCTAAATTTATAATACACAAAAAACTGTTAAATATTTTCATATATTTTGTATTTAAAAGATATATTTATATTTGTAACTGAAAGGAGAAAGAAGAATGAAAAAGACAAAAACTGTCTCAAAACCACAAGTAAATTTTTTTTAACCACATGCCTTCTACCTACTGAATAACAACCCAGGACTTGAAATTTTTTATCTATGTCGTCCCATAAGCAAACTATTATTTTATTTTACTTAAAGTTCTGGGGTATATGTGCAGATCTTGCAGGTTTGTTACATAGATATACACATGTCATGGTGGTTTGCTGCCTCCATCCCTCCATCACCTACATTAGGTATTTCTCCTAATGTTATTCCTCCCCAACCTCCCCACCCCTGCTATCCCTCCCCCGGCCCCCCAACAGACCCCACTGTGTGATGTTCCCCTCCCCGTGTCCATGTGATCTCATTGTTCAACACCCATCTATGAGTGAAAACATGTGGTGTTTGGTTGTCCTTGTGTCAGGGTGCTGAGAATGGTTTCCATCTTCATCCATGTCCTTGCAAAGGACGTGAACTCATCCTTTTTTATGACTGCATGGTATTCCATGGTGTATATGTGCCATATTTTCTTTATCCAGTCTATCACTGATGGCCATCTGGATTGGTTCCAAGTCTTTGCTATTATAAACAGTGCCACAATGAACATACATGTGCATGTGTCTTTATAACAGAACAGTTTATAATCCTTTGGGTACATACCCAGTAATATTGCTGGGTCAAATGGAATTTCTATTTCTAGATTCTTGAGGAATCGCCACACTATCTTCCACAATGGTTGAACTAATTTACACTCCCACCAACAGTGTAAAGTGTTCCTATTTCTCCACATTCTCTCCAGCATCTGTTGTCTCCAGATTTTTTAATGATCTTCCATTCTAACTAGTGTGAGATGGTATCTCAATGTGATTTTGATTTGCATTTCTCTAATGACCAGTGATGGTGAGCTTTTTTTCATGTTTGTTGACCACATAAATGTCTTCTTTTGAAAAGTCTCTGTTCATATCCTTCGCCCACTTTTTGGTGGGGTTGTTTTTCTCTTGTATATTTTTTTGCTGGTTCACTCTAATGATTACTTCTTTTGCTGTGCAGAAGCTCTTACAAACTATTATTTTAAGATTTGTCTGGTAAGAATATCAAACTCTCAATGAATACTTTTTTTTTTTTTTTTTTTTTTTTTTGAGACAGAGTGTCTCTTTGTTGCCCACTGGAGTGCAGTGGCATGATCCCGGCTCACAGCAACCTCTGTCTCCCAGGTTCAAGTGATTCTCCTGCCTCAGCCTCCCAAGTAGCTGGGACTACAGGCATGTGCCACCACGCCTGGCTAATTTTTTTCTATTTTTAGTAGAGATGGGGTTTCACCATGTTAGCCAGGATGGTCTCCATCTCCTGATCTTGCGATCCGCCTGCTTCAGCCTCCCAAAGTGCTGGGATTACAGGCATGAGCCACCGCACCTGGCCACTCAATGAATATTATATCACTTCTTTCCATATTCATATTTTATTCTGTAGAGTTGCAAAGCAAATTAAGTTTTCTGAATATGATACATATTTTTGTAAGAAAATCAGAAACTTAAAAATACATATTAAAAGATTTTAAGTAACTCAAAAGTAATTACTATAACCTTTCTGTATAGATCCTGCCAGTGTTTTCCCCCTCAAAGGTACACTACTACATGGACATATCAACATTTAACTGTTTATTTTTGGAAAAGGTTTCTGGTTTTTCACTAAAATAACTAAAAGCTAAATCTTTGTACATATGCATAGTCCTTTCTATAGAGCAATTCCCAAGCTTAACTGCTGGAAACATATGGTAGGAACAATAAGCTATAAAAGCTACACACACATATTTATGTCAAATCACAGAGAAGGACATGAAATAAGAAGCAGAAGTCTCTCTCCTCTCCTTATTCCCCAATGTATAAGCATGTCTGTGTATGCTGCATTTATACAACTGAATGTTATGCAGCCATAACGAGATCTGGAAAGTTATCCCAAATAATTTTAAAATTAAAAAAAAAAGTTACAAAATAACACAAATAGTATGCCACCTACCCCATACCCTTTTTCTGTCTTTTTTTGAAACACAGCTTACTAAAAAGAAAAAGGTGCATGTAGCAAAAAGTGAGGGGAAGATCCATCAGCCAGAAGCTAGGTGACGACTATCCCATTCTCATCCATCCATTTTAGTGATTCCTTGCTATACGCCGGTATAACCCAGGATTACCCACCCTCAACCTCACCTTTCCAGCAACCATTTTGGGATTCACAGGGAGGAAGGACCTAGGACTCTGAAGTAAGCATATATATATATATATATATATATATATATATATATATAGTATAATATGTATATAAACTATTCAAATATACATTTTGGAAACAGAGTATAGTGTATGAAATACAATCAGCATTTTAAGTGATGACAAATATATATTTGAAAAGATAAGATAGTCATAATAGGTATCAGATTCAGGTATACATTTGAAAAGGAGGTCACAGTAATCCTTCAGAGTTTTAAACTTTTAACAAGACAAATTTCCTTTATTAATATACAAATCTACAAATCTGTACCTATAAAGTAAGTACACTATAATTACTTTGTAAGTATTGTGATTGTTCACCATCACTATAAGAGAAACCTTCGAGAGAGGAATTAGGTAAGAAAAGAGGAAAAAAAGGCAAGGAAGACCTCCCTGCTAGGGGGTAGCAAAATACAAACACAAGCAAGTGTTATGGGCTGCTCTACATCCTCCCCCAGTCCCCCACACCCCACCTCTCACCCCTAGAAATTCACAAGTTGAAGTCCTAACTCCCAATACACACCTCAGAATGTGACTGTGCTTCAAAATAGGGTCTTTAAAGAGGAAATTAAATTAAAATCAGGTCATTAGAGTGGGCCCTACTCTAATATGACTGGAGTCCTTACAAAAAAGAGATTAGATCACACACACACAAAGGGTGGACCATGTGAAGACACAGGGAGAAGACAGCCATTTATTAACCAAGAAGAGAAGCTTCAGAAGAAACTAACCCTGCCATCACCTTGATCTCTGACTTATAGTCTCTAGAACTGTAAGAAAATGAATTTGTTTAAGCCACTCAGTCTATGGTACTTTGTTACTGCAGCCCAAGCAAACTAATATAGCAATGTAAACAGCCTGCAGATTCTATGTCTAGGTTTCTGTCCAAGAAACACACATACACATGCCCCACAAAATTCTGACAAGGATGTGTGATACAGCATTGCTTATAAAGGAAAAAAAACAAACAGAAAAAAGTCTCTTAGTAGGAAAATTATTTATTTAATTATGAAATACTGCAAACAGTTAAAATACAGCTTTAAACCAAAATTTCCTATATTAACAAATATTTGTTAATTTTCTAAAAAGAAAATTTATGAAAAAGATACACACAGCATAATGCTATTTATACAATGTTTAAACATTGTTTAATGGAACATAGTTTTTATGAATAAAAACAGTTATAAAAACATAAATAGGGTATGATCTCAGGATGGTACGGTGGTGTTGGGCAAGTGAGATACCGCTTTATACCGTCAAACTTAGGAGAACTTGTGTTTTCTTCAACACAATACAAATTCAGACAAAAAGAATGAGGTTTTTGCCTTCATTAAGACTTACCGCTAGAGAAAAAAGACAATTCTCCAAGAAGTTCTGTTTGTTTAGAGGTATTGACAACATAGTCTTCAAAAGAAGTCTGAGCTGCAGGTCTAAAGCTCTTCAAAGATTCTGTGGCTTTCTGTATTCTGCAGACAGATATTATATAAAAATGATTATTTAAGATTGCAAATCAGACTAAATATCTGCAACATGATTAACAAGAGAAAACCCACACTTCACTCAAAATTCAAGTTAAAAATGAAGCAAGACGTACCTCACATTAACACAGTATTAAGTGCCACTCAGAGCTAACATGAGGGTACACAGCAGCATTTAATGACATTGCTCAAGAGGTTCTAAAGCTAGAAGTAAGAAGAATACCTGAGGTGGAGCTGCTTTGCTGTCTGCACAAAGCAAGACTGATCTGTCTCCTTTAGCACTTCTTGAGCGTATCCCACAAGTCCATTGTTCTCTAGAAGTCCCCGGTACTCTTCCATTTGAGTCTGAAATTTGTCTAATCTTAGTTTCTTAGATGAGTCAATTGCTTTCAAAACAGATGATTTCCTCTCTTCCAGAATTTCAAAGAGCTTTTCAAAATGTGTAATTGCTTCTTCTTTAGCCCTCTCTCCATTACACTATGAAAAACCAATTTATCCATTACACTAAGATAAAACAAAGCATCGACTCATCCACTAAACCCAAATGGCTTTCCACAAAGTTCTACATAATTACATATCCTCTATATGATTACAAAATCACCAAAACTCAATAAAACCAACCTAGATATTATAAAGAAAAAAAGTTTTGTCTGACTAAAATTTTCAGAACAATATTTTGGCATCAAATATACTTAGCAAAGAACAATTGACAACTTTTATTCAGATTTACTTTGTAATTTTATAATATTGTACTTCTTTAAGTTTTTCATCTCCAAAGTTTGGCAATAGACAATTTAGTCTATTAGATAACAATCTTTCAGTGATATATAAAAATAAATCTGAAGCAGAAATGAACTGATTTAACCAAAAACAGAAAAACACAATTCCAGAGTTTTGAATTCATTTCAAATTCAGAAATGTTTAACCCTTTCTGCGCTACTCCAACTTTTAAATACATTTTAAGTCACAAAACTAAAATAATTACATTCGTTACTAAGATATAAAAATAAAAGTATCTTCACATTAATTTAATAATTAAATCCTGGCTTAGCTGTGTGACCATATATTAATGATTTCACTTCTTTTTCTTTTTTCTTTTCTGAAAATAGGGGATTAAAAAAACTGAAGAACTTCTCTTCCCGTCTGTGAAGGGCATGGTTTCAAAGGCAGGAGTTTCCCCGCTCCACCCGGGAACCAGATGAGTTTCAAAGGTAAAGTTCTTTGTCTGGGTTTCCCACACCTGGGTTAGGTAGAGAAAGCCAGGTGAGGCTCCTTTGTCTCAAAACACCCAACGAAAGCTCTGGGAGGAGGGGGCTTTGTAACTCAGGAGTTGTGGACCAAGCAGCCAATCCGGTATCAGAGTCCAAGATCAATCACTACAGAGGAAGTCTGAAAGAACTCTCACTGGACCAGAACATGAAGGCAGAGGGAATAACTCAAGGGTTAAAACTCCAACTGCTCCTACCTATAGGGATTCCTTCTCTGGGTCCCCTCACACAACACCCGGAGCCCGCTTTCTTTTTCTTTCTTTTCTCTCTCTCTCTCATAAATCACTTTTCCACAAAACTCATTGGGTCCATGATATTTATTCAAACAGCAAACTCACCATTCCTTTGGGACCCCTGTCCCCATTCTTCTGGGTTAACGAGGCTAAGAATCTCTTTGGAACGGGGAGCTGAGTACTCCCTCGATTACAAAACCATTTAGATTTTTGTGAAGATTTTAAAAGGTTATTTACATAAAGTACATACCACAATGTCACATACTCTAAACATTCATACAAACTGTCATAAAATGATGCCATTGTTAAACAGTCTGAATTCCTATAAAATCAGAGCTCAACATGATTTTGAAAAGACGGGCAGAGCACTACTAAGCACTTATCATAAGACTCATAGACAGCAGCCAACAGATAAAGTCTTCAAGAACATTCTTAAAAGCTGACAATATATGGCAGAAGTGTACAGTGCATTTTCCAATAGCTTCTAGCCAACATGTATAATAAAAGGAAATTTTTTCCAGATCTCTTCCTATTTCCTAACCCCAACAGCCTCATATTTTTAAAAGGGAAGGAGCAGAAGATAGTGACATTTTGATAGTATTTCATTGACATCACAACATTAAACTCAGAAATATCATTATATATAGATTTTTTTCCAGCTAAGTATAATTACAGATAAAAAAGACAGCATTACCATCATCACTGAGTAAAAGGCAAGAATGGAGGCAAGTTATGTAGTGTAAATAAAGATTCTGATAAACCTACAGATACAGCTTAGGCAAATGATACAAAACAACTCAATAATGTCCCCAGGATCCCAAGGAATCAGTGTCTATATGAATACTTAATATGTTAAGTTCCTCAATTTTGAACCTATTGATGACAAACCCCCAAACAGACTCTGGGTCTTTACTTCAGAGGTGAAGAGCAGCAGGACTGAGAGGACCAACAAACAAGGCTATTAATAAAATGACCAAAGATGCAACACTTGAAGCAACCTATTAAGGTGATAATCTGCTTATGTTGAGAGATTATACCAAACTAACAGTCTACCATTTAATCTGACAAAAATATGAAAAAGAAAACACCACTTTAAACTGAATGGAAAAATGAGTGACTTAGGGCAGTGAATGCAATCAGTAACGATCAGGAAAATAAATTAAAAACAAAAGCAGTGCTGGTAATGGTGTTAATTCACATGATTTTTCAATGATTTCACCTCATATTGGAAAAAACATTTCTTCAACTAACAGCGTCATACTAGCTGGGATGCTTTTATGTTTAATTACTAAAAAGGATCAGGAGTAATGGCTCAACTTTGTTTCAAACAGAGAAGCAAAACAAGTATACAATAAAGTCAATGAAGAATATTCGGACTTTTAAAATAGCCCAATCGAATCCTCTTTTACTATATTTTTTAAATGCTGCTGCTTTCCAAATTTTTTATTAAAGCGTAATACACAAATGGAAAAATATACATGTAAGTATAAAGAGTAATGAATCTTCATACACACACTCAATGTAACCAGCATCCAACAGAGAATCCAGATTAGATAAAAGAACATTACCAGTAACCCAGAAGCTTCCATATAAGCCTTCCAGATACTAATCTACCCTCTTCAACTCTAACATCATTATCTAGTTTCACTTTTTTTGGTACTTTCTATAATTGCAATCAGATTGTATGTATTCCTTTGTATCTGGCACCTTCCTTTCAACATTACTGCAAGATTAATCTACACTGTTATGTGCAGCTGCAGATCATTTTTATTGCTATTTATATTCTACTGTTAATGGGCATTTGTGTAGATCTTACTTTGTGACAATAACAAACAAGGCAGCCAAGAACATTCTAATACACGTCTTTTGAGGAACATATATAGGATACAGACTCACGAATACCTGAAATTTAAAACAAACCTGGTCCAAGCCACATATGGTGCATTTTCCAAAAGTGATCTATTAATTTTTTAAAACGTAATAAAAATAAGTAAAACCTTTCATTTCCCTTACATTACTATTAAATACTTTTGAGATCTTGTTAATTGCCACACAAAGAGTTAATCATTTTTCCCTCTGTGTTCCAATATCATTTAATGACTAGCCATATCACAGAAGTGATCGCACAACATTATAATTCATTTTTTACATTTGTTTCCCTAGCCCCAGAAAAGCAGGGGTGAAATCTAACACAACTTGGTATTCCCAGCACATATATTACTCTCAGGATTTTATGAACAAATGAATGAATGTCTAGATAAAATAATAACTTAAAATATGCAAGTTAGTTTATCACTTACCTCTGTTTCTTTCATTAACAAGTTTAGTTCAGAAATCTGACTCTTCACCTGGCTTTCCTTACCAATAAGGTAATCAATATCCTTTGAAAGCTTTTCCTGTTGAAACACATTCATAATACAAATGGACAAAATGGAAGTTTAACAAAGACCTTGCAGAAATTTTTTTTTTTAATAACACAGGACTCATCCTCTTCTACAGCCTCTGATAAACAGATAATAAAATCAACTATGGCCATTATCATTATTAACCCAGAGTAAACAGTTAATGGCCTTAGGAACAGAGGGCCAAAGGATGTACGAAAGGTTACAATCAGGTTGGAAAAGAGAACAAGGTAATAATGCTTAAATTAGTCAAAACTTCTGAATATAAAAATACTACATTTTTATTGTTTCATAATCATTCCTAGAGCTCCTACTACTAAGGCTTCTAAGTAAACTGAAGAGTAGCAATTCAAATGGTTTTGTCTTCAGATTTTATAATTCTCTCGCAAACACCCACGTGCATACATACACACACACACACACACACAAACACACACCCCTATACACTATAGGAATAGCAACAAAAACCCTTCCAAAATAATACTCACAGTCCATCACAGCTTATTAAATAGTTACACAATAAGGAAAATACAGTTTTACAAAAACAGGCAATTTCTAGAGCTCACTGAATAATCTGTCTGTAAGGCAGACATTCTGAAATAAGTATAGTTTCTTTCCCATAGGAATACCATCAAAGATTTTGGTAAGATCCCTGGTCTTGCCCGGAAAACCTACTCTGAAATATGCAAAATGCAAAACACAAAAGCCCTTAAACACCATAGGGTAAAAAGTTATAACCGAAAAATGTATTTGGAGTCTAAATAAGAACATCCAGAAAACGTCTCTCAAGCTGTAGCCCTTACAGGCCAATCTGAGCATTTCAGGCTCAGTTACCACCGGTGCTCTAGAAGAGGGCACTATTAAACACTAAACACTATTCCACAGGCTGAGAGGCACTTCTCAGCACCAAGTTGAAAGTAAAATGACAATTCTAATACCATCCCTATCAGGCCCATGTGGAGACCAGAAGTACTAGGTGCAAGTGGTGGTACTCTTTTTTAACTACACTAGCAATGAGATAAATTTGGCCATTTAAATTGAAGTAAGGCTTAGGTCTATGATAGCAGCTTAAATTATAACTACAAGATAGAATATAAGTTAATGGGGTCAAAGAGGTAAGGACCAGAGAAGAAGAGACGACAGAATTCAGAAGCATGATCTAAAAGCACCACACTCTCTGATTTTTAATGCTCAAAGTATCTGGCCAACTTTACTTTTATCTGAGAATAGCTTTTATCTGAGACAGCTCCAGTCGTAATAGTCCCCTCAAATCTAGCCAGTTTTTTTTTAAAAGACTAGATCAATTTTAACCAAGTATCAGGATGTCCATTTATTCACAGGTCTCCAAAAAGTGTATGTACCAAACACTGAAAATAAGCACTGAAAATTAAAATATAAAAAGACAAGGCTACCTCTAACTCCTTTAGATGAATCAGGACCCCAGTTCTCTAGGAACTAATCAGAGGCTAATTTCTCAGGGACTCCAAAATTTCTCAGGAGTTTTTTTCTGGATCAGTGGTTCTCAAACATTGGTGTATATCCGAGTCTCCTGAGGGCTAACCAAAAACCCTAAAGACATGCAGCTTAGTCCAATGAGCCACAGTTTGTAAGGCATGTACCTAAGAAGAGACTGTTGTAAAGAGAAAGAACTCCAAAGAGGCACAAACCAGTGTCCCTTACATATTCAGCAGTTGTCATCAACTCTTGTGTGTAAGGAAACTGCGCAAGACCAGGCAAAGAATCACCCTAAAGCATCCAAGGAAACAATCCCAGGAGCTGATACAAGGCTGGGAAGAGTGCCTGTTCCCCATCGGCCAGTCCAAAAAAAAAAAAAAAAAAATCACTCAAAATTCACAGGACACTGAAAAGAGTAATAAAAGGCTTTTACTTCAATACTTAGGTAAAATTAGCTCTTAGAACTAAATGTTGTTTTGTCTTGCCTCACAAAGTAAGACCCCAAAGTTTCCAAGTAACTTAATCACATATTCAAAGAAAATAGCATTTGTAGGAATACAAAAGTGTCCAATGCCTGGCAGCCAATCAAAAATTACCAGGCATGCAATGTAGCAGAGAAATATAAACTCTAATGAGAAAAATAATCAATCAAAACTGACCTACTAGTGAAACATGAAAAAATTAGTAGGCAAGAACAGTTAAACAATTATATGTATTCCATATGTGCAGAGAAGATAGAGCACAACACAAATATAAAATGCAAAACATGAAATAGTTTGCATATATGCAATTATATAGAGGCAAAAAAATGCATACACATACTGTTAAAGAGAGGAAGGAAAATGGGTAGTAGGTACATAGATGATTTCTTTAAAAATATTGTTTAAAGGGAAAAAGAATAAAACAAAAAAATAGTGTCATACCACTGCCTGCTTTGCTGCTGATTATCAGATTTGAAAGTTTTAAACATTATCAATAAAACTAACAGAAAGGAAGTATTTCTAAGGGTCCACCAGAATGAACAAAATACTAATTCTAAGAATCAAGTGTCTTAAAAAGCCACAACCCTTCAAAGTATGTCTTTCCTATGTACACATCCATTATAAAAGACATTGGGCTCATTTAGGGATCATGATGAAGTATCCTTCATCCTTTTCTCTTCCCTCAGAATTCAGAGCTAATACAACATGGGTATCAATATATGCCAGGTCTTATCAGTACTACAAAGAACTGCTGATCAGGAATACTAACAACCTAATAGTAACACTTTAACTCATTTTAGTAGAAAAAAGACCATATAACACAACATGATTTTGTAAATGAAAAAGTTAAAGGCATAAAGTTACAAAGAATCAAAATTCTGTTCCAAAAATAAGTCCTACCTTTAAGGTTTTGTAGGCACTGCTCATAGTGGTTACACGGTGGTTGGAATGATTACCACCCAACTTACAGAGATGGCAAACGGGTCTCCTACATAATTCACAGTACATGTTTATTCTCTCTGTTTCATGTTCTGGGCACATTAAAATCTATTGAGTAGAGAGTGAAAGTGAGATTAAGGATCTAGGTTTCAAGTAATCTGACAAACTACCAATATACAAAGATTTGCTTTATAAAGCCACTAAATAAAGCCATTTAAGTGAATATGAATGTAAAAAGAAACAAAAATGCTTGATATATCACATGAAAATTCTCTATATCAGAATTACTATTTTTCAATTTGAGTGTTCAAATGAGTATATGTACATGTTACCTAGGGGCATACCCCATATCTCGTCATAATATGTAGATGTTATTTCTCCAAAACTTTTGGATAAGAAAGTGAGAGTTTCATTCCTATCAGATTCAACTGGAATCAACACTCAACCAAGTTAAAAAGGCCATCTGACCACACTGACAAGGCAATTCTTAACGATCAGAGTCAATATTTTTAATGAAGTACCGTAACACTTTATGAGACTCATGACCTTAGTAACAGAAATCCATTACTAAGAGTCTCAGAAAACTTCGTAAGCTTCTAGATGTGTTTGCTTTTACAAATTACAAATGCACTGACAAAATTTGGAACTCTTTTTCTGATTTATCTACCTTTTTATTTACTCTGTAAACTATCATCGTAGAGGATTAAAAGCTATCTGATAAATAACATAAAATTTTATGTAAAATAACTTTTCATTTGACAGAAAGGGGAGATTCCTTTAAGTTAGTATGTTAATAAAATCCAAAAGTTGTTAAAGATTCCAAAATATTAGATTTTAAGCAACTGTAACTGGTCTAATGACTTACAGACATTCATTTATTTATTTGAGTCTCACTCTATAGCCCAGGCTTGGGTGCAATGGCATGATCTCGGCTCACCGCAACCTCTGTTCACTGCAACCTCCGCCTCCCAGTTCAAGCGATTCTCCTGCCTCAGCCTCCCAAGTAGCTGGGATTACAGGCATGTGCCACCATGCCCAGCTAATTTTGTAACTTACAGACATTAAAAATGAACAAACAAAAAGTACAATATGGAAAGTCCTAATACCAATATGTAGGTTCAGGAGAAAAACAATTGGAAAATATTTCAAGTTTATCAGCATGTCCAAGTTTTCACATGCCCAAAGCCATTACATTTGAAATAAAATACAAAGTTTGTCTATCTGCAAGAAAGGATCACAATAACTCAACTTTATAGGTAAATAGTCTAGACCAATAGAGACACCATTTTGGACACCAATTTAGAATTTTACTATATTGAGTAGCACTACTTAAAAAATAAAATTTTTCTCAGTATAACCTATTCATATTTCTTTGGTCTTCTCTCATCTATCTTTTATTACATTTGTAAACAGAAACTATAAGACTATATTCAAATTTTCCTTATACCTATAATTCACAAAAACCCAAGCCTAATAAAATTCATTTAATCATCCAAGGTTATTTCATGGTAGAACAATTATTATCAATTTAATTAATGATTTAAAAGAAACATTAAAACAGGTTGAAGTCACAATTTTTTTTTTTTTTTTTTGAGACAGAGTCTTGCTCTGTTGGCCAGGCTGGAGCGCGGTGATGTGATCTCAGCTCACTACAACCTCCATCTCCCGGGCTCAAGCAATTCTCCTGCCTCAGCCTTTCCCAAGTAGCTGAGATTACAGGTGTGTGCCACCACACCTGGATAACTTTTTTTGTATTTTTAGTAAAGATGGGTTTTCACCATATTGGCCAGGCTGGTCTTGAACTCCCGACCTCAGGTAATCCACCCAATCTCAGCCTCCCAAAGTGCTGGGTTTACAGACATGAGCCACTGTACCCAGTGAAGTCACAAATTTTTAAAAATTGATGGCTTTGAGCCTTTAAAATGAGGAACATAATTGAGAATTAAAAGCTATCTACTGCCAGACTTACACAGTTTGGGAAAGGTCATTCAAAATGTAATAGCATAGATTGTTTTTGCCTTAATCTACCAATCCTTCACTATTTAATATAAAAAATAGTAACAATTTCAAAAACCTTTTGAGATTTTTCTTCTCGATTTTTTTTTTTTTTACTACAAATTAAAGGTTTTATGCTTAGGAATGCAAATAGACTTTTATACACAAGTTACTAAGTTATAAGGACTAAGAACTTTGAAAAACTCAACAATAGGTTTTAAAAATCTATGTAAATCAGAAAGAAGTGAAGATATCAAAAGATCAGTCTTCTTTCCAGGCACACAGCAGGGCAAACAATACATAAACTTCTTTTGGACAATATGAAAGAAATTACTCAGAATGTTTAAGAAATACAAATTCTACTTCAGATAATCACAAGCTACAAAATATTAGGCTCTAATCACCATTTTTCATTGTACAATTTTAGCTAACTAAAAACAGAAAAATATGTTTCGCAGTCAAACCTTTTAAGCAATTATGGATTTATCACACTAAAGCACAAAAAAGCTTTTTATCTTTAACCATTTCAACGTTAAAGAGTATATGTGAGAACTTTCTTTAATCAGAGCTGACACGATGGACATTCATTGTATTATATCACGCTGGACAGTAACAGAAATAAACCACAATATTGCCCTCTATTAACAAAGAGTTTTAGCCTCACAGTAAGTAGCTCCAGCAACTAGGCCTTAAGTTCTAATACCTGCTTTTAAAGTTATTTCCTTTCTGTCAAGTTCTAGACTCAATAATTTATTGCATAACATTAAGTTATATAAGTTTCATAACATTAAGTTAAAATAACATTCTAACTTAATAAAAACTTCACTTACTTTGGGCCTAAAGTTAGTAGTTGGGCCAACATACTCATGCTGAGCTTTTACAGTCCCCCAAGGATGATAAATTTTGAAGCATTCATTACAGTAACTTGCACTACAGTCCATGCAGCTTTTTGTAGATTCTTGAGGTGGTGGTTTACAAAGGTCACACATAATAGCTGTGGCTGCCCTAGCTGCCTGCCGGTATCTTTCGACAATAGTCTCCAAAGTGAAGTTTCGAAACAGACCATTGATTCCTCGTTCTCCAAGATCCACATCATGCTCACAGCCAGGGCAAGGGAAAATGGTTGTCCTCGGGGTCAATGAATTGCGCTTCCAGCCTGTGTAGTTAATATGTCTTTGTTTAGTTACAGCAGTAGGAAAATGATTAGAATGAAGAAAAGAGGAGTCATGTCTTAAAGACATAACTACAAACACATCACAAAAACAGTATCCAAAGTGGCTCCATGTGAATAAATTTGAATTGTGATTTTAAAAGTTTTCCTTAGTATACAAAAGACAAGCCCAAGTTACTAAATATTTATCAAATCAAAAAGAAAAATATTCTATAGTAAGTCCACATAAAACCCATACTAAATCAAACACAGATAGGTAAAACACATAATACAATACGACATGTGGTCAAGATCTTTTAAAATTATATAATAAGCATTTATAGCTACCTTTATATGCCATAGCCAAAGACATTTAAATGAACACAGTCATAGCTGACTGACAGGAAATGAGTCAATACATGAAAGAGCAGGGGTCCCTAGGACAAGGCCCATGAAGAGGCGCCAGGCAGATCCATAAACTATTTGAAATTGTGCACAAAATATCTATATACATATGCAAATTTTCTGGTTAAGACCCACAGCTTTCATCAGATTTTCAAGAGTATGCGATGTGACCACAAAATTTTTAAGAACACTGCAACAGAGGGTTTCCCACTGTAGTATTGTTTTATCTGGAAAAATTCAGTAGGGAAGATCATTAGTTAATTGAGTGCAATCTATAGAAAAGTGAAAAATTCATTCATAGACCTATAATTTAGTGATTTTAAAAAGGGACCAACCATTTAATATCTTCTTATGACCTGAAACAAAGAATCATTAAAATTACTTAATTCAGTAAGCCAAAAATTACCACAAAAATACTACCAATAATTAACATATATACACAATGATGACCTTAAACATCACATTTTTGTTCAGCATTATTATCCTGATTTTAATAAATCAAGGAACCAACGCATGACAGTCCTTACCCACTGTTTCACAGGAATCCAGGGTTGTCCATTTTCCACAGGAGCATGCATATCAATTCCCTCATTTGTAAATCTGCTCTTAAGAGTATGAAGTCTTAGTTGCTCACAAAATAACTCCCTTAACATAAACACAAACTTCTTAACCTATGCCTTCTTTCACACTACCATGTATTCAATACCAAAAGTGAATGGTTAAACTTAGTATACCACACTATGAAAGGTATTGAAACAGCTACATCAATATAGCCTTTGCATATAACTGTCATCACTCAAAAGAATATCTTAAAAGATGTCTGATATGGTATCAGTTCAGGTAAAATTTAGCAATCAGCCTATAATATTACTTATTGGAAGGGATGTTATAGCATGCTATATGGCATTGGGCCCCAAAATGTACTTATACAACAAACATGCAGAAAATTTTTAGTATCTTCCTTTAAAGATATTTTACCTTTATATTTATAAACATTAATGCATACAAAAAAGCTGCCCATACAAATTTGAAAATCCTAAAATATATGAAAGTAATAATTCTAAAAACATGCAATACAATCCAAAATCTTTCACACCACAGCAGGCATACAATGAAATAAGCAGCAAAGCTACTTTTAAAACACATGCCAATGAACGCCAATGAAAACTTCATTTAGGAAAACAAAACAAGCCAAACAATTCTAGAAATGATTTGGTGCAGTGGTCAAGTTTAAACAAACGGAAATTCATATTTAATTGCAGGTTTCCACACATGAACTAGGTGATGAAAATTTAGAGTAACAGAAAACTAATCTCAACAGTTGATGTTAAAAAAATGAGTCGTTTTTGGTTTTATGAAGATTATGATCAATTAAGTAATGGGATAAAGAAAAGTAAATAATGACAACAAAATCATGTTTTAATATGCACGCTGGTGACACCCAAATTTGGGTCCTTAAAAATTTGAAGGAAAAAAAAAAAAAAGTTTTGTCCCTTTTCTGTATACCTCTGCTAACATGGTGTAAAACACTAAACTTCTTAAATGAGATATTAAATTAAAACATATAATTTTTCACAACTCATTCAAATAAGTATCTTGGCTATCTTTCTAAACAGATCTGAAAGCTCTCAAATATTTCTTACAAACGTGAAAGAAATTTTTTTTATTTCATCTGTCTTATACTTCTTTCATGGTTTTCATAGAAACAAACAGATGTTCAGAGCAATAAAGAAAATGAGAATCTTAGGATATTCTGGGAAATAAACCTAATGAAAAAATCAAGGCAATGGAACTAAGAACAAAATGTAAGAGTCAACTTTCTACTTTGTATAGCTGTGCTATCCATTAGCCACATGTGACTTTTAATATTTAATTAAAATTTAATAAAATTTAACATTCAATTATTTGGTTATCATAGCCACATTTGAAAATCTCAAGAGCCACGTGTAGCTAATGGCTACCGTATTATATGATACAGAGTTGAACATTTCCATTATAGTAGGAAGTTCTATTGAATAGTATTGCTCCATTACATTAGACAATGTAAAAGAAAAATAGAGGCATCATGGCGGACAGGAGAAAGGACGAGACTGCAGCTCCGACAGAGCAGCATGTGGAGGCCCGCATCGTGAAATTTTGCTCCAGAACGACTACAGAAATTAGGAAGCCGGGAGGACCCACAGACACACTGAAGGAAGCAGATTGCTCCTGCAGGACCCAGGAGACACCCCAAATACTTCAAGTACTCAAACTGTGAAGTAGAAAAGGGAGACTGTCTGCCCCCGAACACACCTCCACTGGGGAAACTGAAGGCCTGGACAACAGGAGAAGATTTTTGACCTCACCTGGAGCTGAGTCAATTTAGAGAGCTGAGTGAAATACAAGGGTAAAGGAAGCAGCAGGAAAACCCCTGGAAGCTCAATGGACCCCCATTAACTCATTTTTGCCTGGCCTCACGGGGATCCTTCGGGAGGGTGGCCAGAGGCTCTGGGAAAAGGCCATGGAGGAAGGAAATCTCCAGATGAAGTTTCTAACAATTTGAACTGATCGATAAGCCTCCTGGCCAGAACTTGGGAGACACTGTAAATCCAGTGTACAGACTCTACAGGCAAGAGAAGAAGGAAAGCCATACTTGGTTTTGCAGCTAGGAGGTGAGTAGACTTCAAGTTCTCAGCCCTGCTCACCCACTGCCTAGAAACAAACTTGGTACTATTGTGGGGGGCACAGTGGAAGCGACACTGGCCCTCTGGATTCTGTGAGAGCTGGGGGAGACCTGTGACTACTGGCTTTCCCCGACTTTGCTGACAACCTGCATGACACACCAGTGGTGGCCATAATCCTACTAGGAATGTAACTCCATGGACCTGGGAACCTCTCAGGTCAGCCACATATGGCTGGGAGCCACACAACCTCTGAGGGAAGCCCCCAAATCAGCCACAGCAAGAGCTGCTCAAGGAGAGTCAGAGCTCAGACACACCTAAGCCCTGCCCCCACCCAATGGTCTTTCTCTACCTACCCTGGCAACTGAAGAAAAAAGGTATATAATTTTGAGATTTCTAGGGCCCTGCTCACTGCCTGTTCCTCCCCATACCACCATAGCTGATGCTCTCTGGAAAGTGACACCTCCTAGCAGGAGGCCAACCAGCACAAAAATAGTGCATTAAACCACCAAAGCTAAGAAGCTTACAGAATCCCTTTCATCATCTGTCAGTCACTTCTATCAGGACAGGTCCTGGTGGTATCCATGACTGAAGGACCCAAAGATGGTTCACATCACAGGACTCTGTGCAGACAACTCCCACTACCGGCCTGGAGCCTGGTATACCTGCTGGGTGGCTAGATCCAGAAGAGAGAACAATCACTACAACTTGGCTCCCAGGAAGGCACATCCATAGGAAATGGGGGATACAACAAAAAACATCCCATGGGACAAAAGGAGCTGAACAGCAGCCTTGAGGCCTAATCTTTCCTCTGACAGAGCCTAACCAAATGAGAAGAAACCAGAAAACCAACTCTGGTAATGTGACAAAACTATGTTCTTTAACACCAACAAAAATCACACTAGCTCCCAGCAATGGACCCAAACCAAGAAGTCATCCCTGAGTTACCTGAAAAAGAATTCAGGAGGGTTATTAAGCTAATCAAGGAGGCACCAGAAAAAGGCAAAGCCCAAGGAAATCCAAAATATGATATAAGAAGTGAAGGAAGAAATGTTCACGGAAATAGGTAGCATACATAAAAAGCAATGAAAACTCCAGGAAACAATGGACACACTAATAGAAATGCAAAATGATCTGGAAAGTCTCAGCAACAGAATTGAACACGGAGAAAGAAATTCACAACTCAAAGACAAAGTCTTCAAATTAACCCAATCCGACAAAGATAAACAAAAAATAAGAAAATATAAACAAAGCCTCCGAGAAGTCTGGGATTACATTAAATAACCAAACCTAAGAGTAATTGGTGTTCCTGAGGAAGAAGAGAAATCTGAAAGTATGGAAAATATATCTAAGGGAATAATTCAGGAAAAGTTCCCCAGCCTTGCTAGACCTAGACGTCCAAATACAAAAGGCACAAATAACACCTGGGAAATTCATCACAAAAAATATCATTGCCTAGGCACATTGTCATCAGCTTATCTAAAGTTAAGATGAAGGAAAGAATCTTAAGAGCTATGAGACAAAAGCACCAGGTAACCTAGGGAAAACCTGTAAGATTAACAGCAGATTTCTCAGCAGAAACCCTACACACTACAAAGGATTGGGGCCCTACCTTCAGCCTCCTCAAAAATACAGTTATCAGCCAAGAATATTATATGCAGTGCTTCATATATGAAGGAAAGAGAAGAGTCTTTTTCAGACAAACAAATGCTGAGAGAATTCAGGACAAGCAAGTCACCACTAAAATAACTGCTAAAAGGAGCCCTAAATCTTGAAACAAATCCTGGAAACACATCAAAACAGAACCTCTTTAAGGCATAAATCACACAGGACCTATAAAACAAAACTATAACTTAAAAACAAAAAGAAAAAACAAAAAACCAAGGTATATAGCAAAAAACAGCATGCTGAATGGAATGGTACCTCATATCTCAATATTAACTGAATGTAAATGGCCTAAAAATTCTCCACTTAAAAAAAGATAAAGAATTGCAGAATAAGTAAGAATTCACCAACCATCTGCTGCCTTCAAGAGACTCACCTAACACATAAGGACTCACAAAAACTTCAGGTAAAGGGATGGAAAAAGACATTTCATGCAAATGGACACCAAAACCCCAGCAGCAGTAGCTATTTTTCTACCAGACAAGACAAACTTTAAAGCATAGCAGTTTAAAAAGACAAAGAAGGACATTACATAGTGATAAAAGGCTTTGTCCAACATGAACATATCCACAATCCTAAATAAATATACACCTAACACAGAGGCTCCAAAATTTATAAAACAATGACTAATAGACCTAAAAAATGAGACAGCAACACAGCAGTACTAGGGGACGTCAATAATCCAATGAAAGCCCTAGACAGGTTATCAAGACAGAAAGTCAACAAAGAAACAATGGATTTAAACTACAGCTTGGAACAAATGAAACTAACAGTTATTATATGCACAACATTCCATCAAACAACCACAGAATATACATTCTATTCAATAGCACATGGAACTTTCTCCAAGATAGACCATATGATAGGCCAAAAAACAAGCCTCAACAAATTTAAGAATACTGAAATTAAATCAAGCACTCTTTCAGGCCACAGTGGAATAAAACTGGAAATCAACACCACAAGGAACCTTCAAAACCATGCAAATACATGGAAATTAAATAACCTGCTCCTGAATGAGCACTGGGTCAAAA